GCCATGGAAAATAGCCAGAAAGCAGCCTCTATCATGGGATCCAAGAACAACAAAAGATCAGCTGTGGCTCTAGACCAATGATGGTGGAGCTGTTCTCTTGGCCTAATGGCAGAGACCAGTGATGCCATAGAGGTCTTGCTGTAAACTAAAGATTGGAGCACAATGATCTTAACGTTGTAGCCTTGGCTCAAAGAACAGGATATGATAAGATTCCAGCCCAGGTCTTCTGTAGGGGTGAGAGTGTCATAACAGTGAAGCTATCTCGTCCCCCTAGCCCCTCCTGGGATAGTGTGGGATTGTGGTGGTAATGGAAGCTTTGAAACTTTAGCTTTGACCCTGTGGCCCAGATCTAAGGTTGCCATTGTTGTGGTCCCAGACCAGCGGTCTGGACAAGATTATGGTGCAATTATCTTCATTACATTGGCTAAGGCATCATTGTAGACAAACTGAGGGACCTGTCCCTAGGTTCTGGTAAAGCCTCAGTCTGTCTGTTGACTCTGGCCCATTAATGGCACAGCTATACCTTTGGCCTAGTATTTGGAGCCCAGGTTTACTGACCCCCATCTAACTGCTCATTCCTTTAGATGACTCTCTCTCTTCCTGTAATTTCCAACCAACTGGTGGATATTCTTTGGTATATGTATTCCTGGGAATTGATGAGATGTCTAAATCTCTAGAAAGGACTAGTTTAAGAGCATGAAGTCCATTGGTTGGATCACTAGAGAGGAACACAGCCATCATAGAATATGACAGCTGATAACCTGGGTTCTGTGACTATTAAAGTCAGAATCTGATATGCAAATGGGAGCCAAACAACCAGAAGGCTTTTATTCTTTATTTTATTCTTAAGCCTTTTGAGATAAAAAAAAAGACAAGCATCAGATTCCCAGTCCACTATGATCTGACAGCCCAAATTTAAGGAGTTTACTTGAGGAAAGACAGCCAATTCCAAATTTTAAATGTGGCTCTAGGGAAGGGCTGGAGAAGGGAAGGAATATGGATCAGCACCCTTGTCAAGAAAGCAGGTCCTTCAAAAGCAGTAATTTTGTTTCCACTCAGTCTTACGTGCATCCCTTCATAGAAACAGTCTATCAGCTCATCAAGAGAATTTCCTCTCTGTTGAGACAATGAAATTCATTCCTCATGTGTCTGACTGGATTCAAGACCTCATCATCTCTGTACTTCTTGGTACATATTACAGACCGAGAACAGATCCAAACTTATCATTCCCCTCAACACCCCTTCTTACTACCACTGATGACAGATTGGATCATTTCGGTTAGGAACTCCTTCACCAGCCTCGTTTTTATTCCCAAATTCCCTTCAAAATTAAGAAGCTGCTATTGTTTTTGTTGTTTTAGTCATTTTTCAGTTATGTCTGACTATGACCCATTTGGGGGCTTTCTTGGCAAAGAAATTTGCCATTCCTTCTCCAGCTCATTTGACAAATGAGGAAATTGAGGTAAACAGGGTTAAATGACTTGCCCAGGATCACACGGCTAATAAGTGTCTGAAGCTGGATTTGAACTCTGGTCTTCCTGACTCCAGGCCTGGCACTCTATCCACTGTGCCACCCAGCTGCCCTAAATCAAAAAAGTTTCCCTGACTGAAAATCAAACCCACGCTGTGGTGGTGAAAGTGCCAAATCCTAACCATTAGACCACCAATTCCCTCATACCAAAAGGTTTAAACTGTTTTAATTTCTGTGGACAAGTAGAAACAAGTAGCAAGAAACATCATCCCACTCTTTTTGTTTGTTTTTTAAACCCATTCAACAAATCACTGAGTATTAATCTCCTACTATGTGTTCAGGTGCTGAGCTAGGCACTGGGGATGTGTGTGTACATTGCTTCAGTAGTGTCTGACTCTCCATGTCCCCATTTGGCATTTTCTTGGCAAAGATACTGGAGAGGTTTGTCATTTCCTTCTCCAGCTTATTTTACAGATGAGGAAACTGAGGCAAACAGGCCTCACCATTCCTCCTCAGTAAAATAAGGGAGTTGGACTAGTTGCCCTTTGAGGTCCCTTCCAGCTCTAGACCTATGACCCTATGACCTTTCAGTTCTATCCTTCAATATAACAATCCTGCTCTATTCTTTTTAGATTCAAGTCTTACTGGAGTAAAGGTGACCTATTAATTATGACCACTCTTGTAAGTGTCATCTTTGCTTCCTTACAGGAACGTACCTAATATGAAAAGACATTGGCTAGATGGTTTTCCCTCAATTTAGGAAACCAATGTACTGGATGGAACCAATATCTTAAATGCTTCTTTCTGGAATACTGATATAACATACTGCACAAATTACTACGGAATAAACCATGCGAATAGAGGGTTGGACCCTTGGTCTACCTGCAAACTGTGCTACGTAATTTTTTTGAGTGGTTAAAAAAAAAACACCTTTTGAAAGGTAACCTAAATGAATGCTTTGTTTATTGACTATAGTATTGGATTCTCTCCATTGCTTGTCTTCTGAATTTTTTTTCCTTTGAGGTGATCTTATGGCTAAAATCTTCTCACGTTTTGGTTGTGTTTTCTAAGCTAAAAATATTTATCCTTTCCTCTTCACTCCCTAGTATTTTACAACTAAATTATTCCAGAGAAAAAAATCTAGCCAGGCCAAGCTCAAAAATTGTCTCCATCTCTCTTTCCTTTGCCTTCTTACACACTTCATCATCCTTGGACTACACTTTATGTTCTAGAGCTGTGCTTCTGCTTGTACAGGCATGCGTGCGCGCGCACACACACACACACACACAACACACACACACACACACCCCAATACACACACATACATCTATACATACACATGATTTCATTGGTATAGGGAACTCTTGAGTGAAAAAGCTACTTCTACCAGTACAGATCTGTACCTTTTCTGCAATTTATAGCCTTAGAGAACTATTGATTTAAATGACTTGCACAGGTTACACAGTCAGTATGTGCTAGAAGTGGGACTTGAACCCCTGTTCTTAGCTAGGTCTTTAACCATTGCATCTCTATCCACAGGAATCCATCTCTAAGATCTGTTTAACACAAACAGTTCAAGTTATCAGTTAGAAAAGCAAAACTACTAAACACAGACAAAAAAAGCAAGTAAATCAGAACACAGAATTTAGTCAAGGATAATGCTACTTCTCTAGCCCCCAAATCCCCACTATTCCCATCTTTGATCCTTGATGGCTCAAGGTTATCCCAGAAGTCCCTACCCTTCCACAACTGTCACATCCTTCTTTCGAGGTCCCATTTCACATATTTTTCTGCCTTTGAACAAATACAAGAGAACACAACACAAATATTTTTAAAATGACATTTAATTAAAATTCACCTTAATCAAATTCACATAAAAACCATTCACAGCAAATCATACAAGGTAAGCATTAATTTATGTAGAAGGTATTGCTATTTTTTACTAAAGGAGATCTGTGATATGAGGCAGGGGATAAATAATTTCCCCCATCTCCACAGAGACCTATTCTCTGATTGTCATCTGCCCGAGTCACAATCACCTCCTTCCCTACTCACCCATCTAGTTTTACTACTCTGCGAGCTGCTCCAGCAGTAGGTTTGTTTTGGTCCTGCTCTCACCCAAAATCATGAAATCACCACTGCTTATTCTGTGATGGGCAAGGGTCCAGGAAAACAAATTTCACATTTCTTAGGGAAACAAAGATCCAGATGGCAGAGAACCTCTATGTGTTCTGAGACCATGATAATTGAAGATTCCCATATTTTCCCAGCTGCTGCTTATCTGGCTGGATTTCTCCTGGGGATGAGGAAGTAGGAGGAATGACACATTTAAACCTGAAAACCTTTAGCTTTACCCTGCAAACCATTCAAAAAACCATTTAGATACTGTAGCCACGAGGTGTTTTATGTTTGATAAGAAAGAATTATTTTTAGGTTATACTCTATTAATTACAGATGACTTCAGAATCCTAAAAGGAAGTTATGGACTAGACTTTTAATGGTCTGCCCATAGCCAGGAAGTAGCATCTCATGAAGTAGACAGGTTTTCTCTATGTAATAAGAATTAATGGTACCAGGTCTGAGAAGGAAGTAGCTGTATCACCATTTTGCAGAGAAACCAGTAAGGAAAATGGCTCATCAAGAAAAATCCATACAACAATAAAGATTAGTCTCTATTTTCTACTTCCCATTAAAAATGCTTCCACTAAATCCAACTCTTTATTTTATTACACGGTAAAGATGAGCATGGGGTTCTCAGAGATTGTGTCTGATCTGGCAGGGCCTATACCAGGCTAGAAAGATTTTAAGTATTTACCCAGAGATGTGGAGTATGTTGAGAAGAACTCCTCAGTGTCTGGATAGCTTCGTCACCAGAAAGTTCTAAGCCAGAAGACAGTTTTGGGTTGTTGTTGTTGTTGTTTTTCTCACCTAAATAGAAGGCAATGAGAACTAGCCACCATTAAAGTTTACCAATTTTTAATGTTCTGTTTGAGGAAATGCTAACACTGATGATATCATGGATTTTATGAAATAGTAAAATATGGAATGATGAGTATTATGAGTGGGTTTGGGGGAAGAAAGGGTCATAATAAAGAAGTGAATGGATACCTTGGAGGGGGAGGGGTGTTCCCTTTACTGAACCTTATAAGGAAGGTAAAGGAAGAAGAGAAAGTAGAGAGCATGGCTTTTCTGTCAAGTGTAAATCTCTTCAGTCTGAATGCAATCTAACTGGAAGCTAGAACATGGTTATGAGAGGAAGCCAAGAGAACATGGGGTGCCTTCCCTCTGCATGCCCAGGAAGTGGCTCCTGATGGCCTATGTCATGAATAGAAAGACAGGCTCAATGTCTCCCTGTTTAACTACATAAAATATAAATGAGACACAAAGTCAGACATAGGTTTCAAAGGCACACAAGGGGACAATCATTTTTAAGGAAAAAGATTGTTAACAATTTTTCATTTGCTTTTCAAATTTCTCCAGCAGAGATTTGAAACCCTTTGCAAGTTGCCTTAACTTCTCCTTTGCATCATCTTCACTTTCTATGAGCATCTCATCTATGTCTGCCAGTTGAAGTCTAGGTGATTTTTTCTCTGATGGCTGCCAATCTTGGCCAAGAATCAAGTCAAATAAGGTAACTTTGGAGCATCCACAGGGCTCAGTCTCTAAGCATGAGGATGAAGGGTGAATCCGGGTGACTTTGGGGCATCCATAGGGCTCAGTGTCTGAGGATGATGGTAAGTCTGATGAACTATGTGATGGCCAACACATCTCATACTCAGGGAATAACATACTGAAAAAGAAGAAGGGTTTTTTCTGGGGCACTCGTAGGACAGATTTCACACCCATCTCTTCAGAACCTGGCAGAGGCATAGGTATGGCCAACAACTCTGTTTCATAAAGATGGTTCATTACCTCAACGTGAGGACAGCCATTTGGGATCCAGGAGGCACATTCTAAGCAGACTGTATATCTTAATGACATACGTTGACCAGGTCTCTTAGGGGGACTTTCCTTCATACGCCGCAAGAGAATCTGCTTACACATATCACTTTTTATTTTCTTCTCAGGGATAGAACCAATGATGGCATTTACAGTTTCAGCAGACAATGTGCCTCCCTCAATGGTGTGTGGTTTGATGTACTTCAGATGCCATGGGATTTCTTTGTTCTGTACAGCCGAGTTCTGATATTGGAGCCCAGACTGAGCCTCATCTTCATAGTCAAAGGTCAATGCCTCCTTTGCCTGGTGGAAGCCATTGCCTGTTGGAGTATCCTTTTGGTTACTGGGAGCAGATGAAGGAGTAATACTCTCTTTGGGGTTGAATAGAAGTGAAGTCTGTATAATTGGCTCTTCCAAATCTATGGGTGGTAAATCCTGGGTGGTGGTGGACTTTGATTCAACCTCAGCCAGTTTGTTAGTGGTAGGCAGATGTGAGACCTGGTCATCTGGCCTCAATGACATCTTACCCCAAAGGTCGGAGTCAGAAGGAAGTGTGACCCGGGCCTTGTCATCTGGGGCAGGCTCAGACTGGTTGTTCAGGACGGGTGGAGAAATGGCCTGGTCATTTGGCTTGGGTTGAGATAGGACCTGAGAATCAGGTTTTAGTTTATGTGTTCATTGATTGTCCAGTTCCAACAATGCCTGGAAGTCTAGACCAATAATAGACTCAGCTGGTTGTTCAGAGAAGATTGATAGGGGGAGCCAGTTATAAGGATATATTGGATCCTTAATATGCTGGTCAAGACCAAATGGATCCCTGGACCTATGATCACTAGCTATTAATGAGGGCTTATCAAACAACCTAGGACTAGGTGTGGACTCTGTTAAGGGGAGGTACTGTTACAACTGGTGTTTTAGAGGCAGATGCCTCAGGCTTACTGCTCTGGTTCATTGAGCTTGAATCTTGATGTCCTTGGCCCCTGGAAACCTCAAACCAATAATACAGTCCCCAAGGATCTGTGGCCTGATCATTTATACCTGGTGGAATCTCACCACTCTGATTACGTCCTGGTAAAGGTATTATAACTGGGCGGACAGGATGTAGTGATGGCCCAAATGTGTCTTTCACCTTGTAATCAGGGCCTGGGGAAGCCTCAGCTATGTGGTCAGGCCATGTAACTGTGGTCTGGGGCATGGAGGTCTCCCAGATTTTCGGAGGGAGAAAAGGAACAGATGTTGTTCTGGCCCAGGGCCAATCTGGTGATGGTCTAGCATTTAGCCTGGTCTGGTGGTTGGGACCTGGTGATGTATTCTTATTTTGAGGCCATGGTACATTTGTGTTTGTGCCTCTACTGATAAATTTGGCAAATGATGAAGGTGCAGGCTTGTCTCTGGACTTATTGTTAAAGATTAGAGAAAGTATAATTGTTTCCGAGGTTCTGAGAATAGGTCGTTCTTTCTTTGAACTCAGGAATTTTAAAAATGGGACAGGTTTTGGGGGTATTTCAGGGTAGGGTTGGTCTGATGTTTTTTCTGAATCTGTGGTGTTGGAATGGTCTTCAGGACTAGGTGGCTTTATGACAACATCCTTGGGCCAGAGGTCAAATCCTCCTAACAGGTCCGTTGCAATCTTGAGCTGGCGTCTACAACTCCGATGAACTTCTGCTATGTGACTCTTGCTTGTTGGCACTGATGAGGAACTGGTCTGGGAGTGAGGAGGCACTGAGGGTTCATTCATAGTCTTGGATCTCTTCCGTTTTGTGGATGGTGGAGCTGCTGTAACCCGATGGTTGGAGGATGCCAGAGGTTGGGGCTGATGTTTGAGGCACGGTAACCTCTGCTTACTCTGATAGTCATGACCTGGTGAGATCTTTGGGAGTGGGTCAGTGCCTGAAGTAGCCCCCTGATGGTTCTTGAGTTTTACTGAAGTCTTTAATTGGTGGACGGGCACAAGAGGAGGCATAACAAACTGCTTAGAGGTTGTTAGGTGTTCAACAGTTACTTTTGTCCTAAAGTCAAGGGAAGGTAAGGTTAACCCAAAGGCATTGGCATGGTATTTCTTAGGTAGAAATGAGCTCATCATTCCTTGGTGTTTTAGATAAGGCAACTGCCCAGTATTTGTGGCTTGACACCTATGCCAAAGTAAGGATGCAGGCATAGGTATAGTACTGTGAGAGGAACGAAGTGCTAATTAGATGGAGCCGGGCTGGTCTTTGAGGCTGATCATACTCTCAGTTCTGGGAAGGTGGTCCGGTTCCCATGGTGGTGCTATCCGATGAGGTAGACATGGCAGTAGCACTGAGTTATTCTGGTTATGGAAGTTTGTTGGAGGGGCCTGCAGCAAGGATGCTAAAGAAAAAGGAAAAACCATTTGAGTACGGCTGAGGAAAATACTACACAGCAAGAGTGAACAGGAAGGGCTAAGGTATACTAAGATGCATGCAGCATCTTGAGAAGCAGCCTGGGAAAGTGGATAGAGTAAAAGATTCTTATCCTGTCTCTGTCACTTACTACTTGTGCAACCCTGAGAAAGTCGTTTAATCTCTCTCAGCCTCAGTTTCCTCAATTATAAAATGAGGGGACTAGACACTGAAGTCTTTTTCCAGTGCTAAACTTACTACGATCCTGTGGTGTCTAATAGTGGAAAGAGTGGCCAAGATCAAACCACATCCACACCTTGCATTTATATGGAACCTTGAAGGTTTCACGTATAAAAGTGCCCATGTGTACCGCTGTTCCTTTGGATCCATGAAAGAGCCAAGGCATGGAAGACAAACAGGATCATTCCCATTTGACAGATGAGAAACATAGATTCCAAGTGTTAATTTGTACTTGGAAAGGGTCATATGACTAGCAAAAGTGGTGAAGACAAGAATCAAGCCTGGGAAATTAAGGTGAAGAGCATCAAACTGACTTGTTCAAGGTTACATGGCTGGGAAGCGACACTGGAAGGACTAGAACCCAATTCTTCTGATTTCCACACCAGTTAATTCCTTTTACTGTGCCAAGCTAGCTGAGAATGATGGTGGTCACAGTAACATAAATGATTATCACAGACAGCAGTCCATTTGAAAAGCAAAGTTCTCACCTTTTGGAAATAACCTCCGTTTTTTTCCCATTGGTCCTCTGAAGTATTTCCTTGAGAAAATAATGTTAGTAAAAAAGTGTAAAGTATTCTAGGTTCTAATGACTCCTTAAAAAGGACATTAGTCAAATGACTATTTTTTGAAGCTCTAGCCCAGAAAATCTGTTGAACTTACCTCCTACTCAGTCATTGCCCTCTGGGTCCTCACACTTCTCCATTCCCCACCTACCTTCTCCTCCAACTCCGAAGCACAATCATTACACTCTTCATTAAAAACTACTCTAAACAAAGGGACTTTTACAAAAAAAAAAACCACCTTATTTACATGAAGTAAGATCAGCGGAAGAGACGAATGACATATCCTTCTCAGGACATTTTAGCAGAAATCAAAATCATAAGCTAAAAGAGTGAAACTCTTAGGATGGAATTTCAATTATTGCCCAATGATCTCACATGGAGCTTTCTAAGACAAGAATGGAATCCACAAAACAGCTCTAATTAATTTTGGTAAAATAGCACCACAGTTTTAGACACACTGCTTCTCTAAAAAAAAAAAGTTTTCTGGTTCTGTAGTCTTAGGTCAATAAAATGAATCTTATTTTAAGAGTGTGGAAGATTTTATATCAGTCTCTGAAAAATTAGAAACATAATGAAGCATCATAAAAGAAGAGTTAGAGATTAAAAGAATAAATCCTTCCTCCCCTTCTCCCCACCAAAAAACAGAGTTAGAAAATCCCAAATTTGTCTCTTTGGAGAAATAAAGATCCTCCTGAGCAAACTATGTATATCCTGAGGTGCAGAGAAAACTAGATCTTCCCCAGGCACCAAGAGCTGGACTTGAGGCCAGTGGTCCCAGGAGAGGCAAGGGATCTGAAGTCACACTGACATCACAGAGTACCAGTTGTCCTTTGTCACCTGGCATCACTTGGTGTAAGGGAGACTTAATTTGATGACCATCTTATCCTGGTAAACAATATACACAAGATTCCTGGACGTGGAGCTATATGTGAAAAATGGAATTTCCCATTTTTCTTTACTGACTAGTTTTCCCTTAAGTTCCTTCCACACAAGACTCAGTATTAGGATTATAGATTTAGAGCTGGAAGGGATCTTAGAAATCACCTAGTGCAGACTCTTTCCTACCTTAGCCCATTTATTAGATGGGAAAAAGTGAGGCCAAACCTATGTTCCAACCCAGGACTTTAGACACAGTGTTTATCCCAACACAGGCACACCTTATTTTATTGCATTTGGCTTTATTGTACTTTGAAGATAATTGTGTTTTTTGTTTTGTTTTGTTTATAAATTGAAGGTTTGTGGCAACCCCGCATTGAGCAAGTCTATTGGCATCATTTTTCCAACAGCATGTGCTCATATCATGTCTCTGTGTCTCGTTTTTGTAATTCTTCCAATATTTAAAACTTATTCATTATTATTAAATCTGTTATGGTGATCTGTGATCAGTGATCTTTGCTGTTACTCTTGTAATTGCTTTGGGGAACCGTGAGCCACCCCCATATAAGATGGCAAACTTAATTGACAAATGTTGTGTTCTGATTGTTCCACCAACCAGCTGTCCTGTCTCTCTCTCCCTCTCCTCGGGCCTCCCTATTCCCTAAGACACAACAAATACTGAAATTAGTCTAATTAATAATCCTACAATGGTCTCTAAGGGTTCAAGTGAATTGATGCAGTAAAATTCATTGTTATCTTATTTTAAGAAACTGCCACAGCCACTCCAATCTTCAGCAACCATCACCCGGATCCTCACCCAGCAGCTATCAATATCAACGCAAGACCCTCCACCAGCAAAAAGATTATGACTTGCTGAAGATGATGGTTAGCATTTTTTAACAATAAAATGTATTTTAATCATTTTTAGACATAATACTATTGCACACTTAATAGACTACAGTATAGTATGAACAACTTTTAGATGGACTGGGAAACCAAAAAAAATTTGTTTGACCTGCGTTACTGTGATATTTGTTTTATTGCAGTGGTTTGGAACTGAACCTGCAAAATCTCTGAGGTATGTCTATATATCACACTTCCTCTTGACAAACACGGAGAATGGGATCCTGCCTCTCTTCATGTCCAATCTATTATACATTATACTCTGTGAAGACAGGTGCTATGTCTTTTTCATTATTTTATCTATCATAGCACCTAGACCAGTGCCTTGCACATTTAATAAGTAAGCATGGAGTAAGCATTTTGCATATGAATAAATGTTTGGGCCAGTTACCCTTTCTGTAGGCAAATAAAATCCAGATCTCCACTTTCAAGCCTGGGAAACATCAGTTCAATAGGTTGCCAAGGGAGAACACTAGAAGGAACTTCTCTATCTCCCTGGGTATATCTAGATAATACACAATTACTACAGGAAATCCAGCAGGAACTTAGAACTCATCATAAAAGTGGCTGGAAGAGTAAGTAGAAAGGCAGTCATGCCTTCAGTAAACATTATGTCATCTACCTACCCACATTTGTGAGTTTCTGGGACCAAAGGTCACATTCAAAAATATTGATGCTAAGATGAGCTGTCCTTCCAATTATCTCCTAGCCTAAATGTTTCTAACATAAAGACCTCCTTGACATTGAAAAATGCAGCAGGGTCATTAATCAGAGCTCCTGTGAGGTTAGTGCTTCAGAACACACTCTGGCTTATGCTGTCCATGGAGTTGAGAAGTAATCAAGAAAGCAGCCTTAGGGAAATCCAGTAAGCTCTAAGACTGTGGTGATCAGACATGCTGATCATCACCCCTGACCTGAACTCCCACTCCAAAAAGTTACCTTATGCAATATACTTTGAAGTCTCTTAAGAATTATTTACCAGGGCAGCTGGGTGGCACAGTGGATAGAGCTCCAGCCTTGGAGTCAGGAGGACCTGAGTTCAAATCTGACCTCAGACACTTGACACTTACTAGCTGTGACCCTGGACAAGTCACTTAACCCTGATTGCCTCACCAAAAAAAAAAAAAAACAATAAAAAAAATTGCCATTGAATATATGAATGAACTCTCCATAATCTTACTGTGTGAGAACAGTAAAAACAGGAAAAATAAAATAAAAACAAGAAAAACAAGATTATGAAAAGAAAGTCAACCAACTAGAAAAGGAGATCCAGAATCTTAAGGAAGAAAATAACTCCTTGAAAATTAAAATTGGGCAAAAGGAAGCCAGTGAAGTTATAAGACCAAGAAATAATAAAACAAAAAATAAAGAATGAAAAAATAGAAGAAAAAGCTAAACATCTCATAAGAAAAACAACTGATCTGGAGAACAGATCAAGAAGAGAAAACATAAGAATAATCAGACTACCTGAAAGCTACAACAAAAAAAAGAATCTTAATATGATAATACAAGAAATAAATAAAATTGTCCTGAAGCACTAGAACAAGAGGAGAAAGTAGAAATAGAAATCTTCACTGATCACCACCTGAAAGAGATTCTACAAGGAAAATATATAGGAATATCACAGCCAAATTCTGAAACCCCTAGTTCAAGGAGAAAATATTAAGAGCAATAAGGAAAAAAAAACAATTTAAATATGACAGAGCCTCCATTAGAATCACACAAGACCTAGCAGTGGCTACACCAAAAGACTGCAGGTCTTGGAACACTATGTATAGAAGAGCAAAAGAACTAGGGTTGCAGCAGAAAATATCATACCCAGCAAAGCTGAATGAAAAAAAATGGATATTCAATGAATTGCCAGACTTTCAGGATTTTGCTGCAAAAAATAAAAACCTGAGCTCAATAGAAAATTTGACATACAAAGTCCAAGAGAAATACAAGGCATACATCAAAGAATAATTACAAGGGACTCAATAAAGGCAAACTGTTCACTTTTTATATGAGGAAAGGTAAAACACAGGTCTAAGATTGTTACTAAGAATTCGGTAGTTCAAAAGAAAGATTGTGGTAGATCTGAGTATGATGAGATTCTAAAAAAGTAACCATTTAAGAAAAAATAAAAAGTAATTATCTTGTGCAAATGAGGTGTGAGAAGAACTGACACAGAGGAATTAGATGGGAAAGGAGAGAAGGGGAGGAAAAGGGAGGCATCTTTGGAGGGGGGTAGGTTAAATAATAGGAGGGCAAACTAGCAGATAGAAGTAAGATAGAGGAGTCAGGAGGAACAGGAAATAAGAGATACACACAAACAAAATAAAGATCAGGAGTAGAACTTGTTAGGAAAAGAGGAGCAAGTATGGTAATCATGATCTCAGACCGACTAAAGGCTAAAATAGTTTTAATCAAAAGAGAAAAATAGAGAAACTACACAATATGTCAGCTGTATTAATCAATAGTGTTTTAGATTATTTGAAATAACTAGAGAGGATAAGATTGGAATATCCCTGCAGTATAGGAAATGATGAGTTGGTGGACTTAGAAAAATATAGAAAGACTCAGACTTATGAAGGAAGAGGTTGTCCACTTTCTGAGAAACAGAGGACAAATAAGTATAGCACGGTCTTACATAGATGTACATGAATGCATGTCTGCATATGAGTATGATATAGATTAGGTATCTAAGTATATGTATGTGTAAATGTATGTATATGTATATCTATGTAGATATATATTTATCTATATATGTATTTATATGTGTATGTATGTATGTATATACATATGTATATATGTATATCCATGCTTAATTCTAGTGGAGGGGAGGGGAAAGAGAGAAAAAAGAACAAAGTAAAAAGTGCACAGCAGAGAACAAAAGAAAACTTATAAGCAAGCAAAGAAAAGATGGACAACTCTAAGCACAATGCGTAATATTTATTATAAAGGCTTTCTAGAAATAGAAATTTATTGCTGTATATTTTGAATCCTCTCTTACATTTTGCTGTGCATGTGGAAATGCTTTTTCCCCCCTTTTCTTATTTTGCATTAAGTTTTAAATGTTTCTTTTTCTTTTTTTATTGTGTATTTAAGCTTTAGTATTTAAGTTTAAAATAAATTAATAAAAAAAATTACTTACCATTGAATATACAAATGAACTCTCCATAATTTTACTGTGGGAGAATACAGTTACTAAAGTCACCTTTGAATATGCTCTAATATATGCTTTATTTGATGGCAATGCGATCAGTGCTCTCCAGCCCTCCTCCAGCATGCCAACTCTTCACTTTCTCAAAGTACATAAAACTGTTGTTTGTATATAAAAAAGGTTTGGGTTAGAGATTTTTAAGGATTTCTTGGACACCCCTTTTAAGATACCTAAAGCTACTTTTGTAACACTGGAGTTGGGAAACCTCTCAAAATAGTATTTCCACTTCTGAGCCTCTTCTTATTGTAGGCATCTTTTCAGAGACTCATAATTAGTAAGATTTTCATGGAAACCAGGTGGGAGTATCCAAAGAACTGAGCATTCCTGCCCCCCACTTGACCCAGAGGGACCCCTTTGTGGTCCCA